CGGCCAGGGAGCAGGTTAATTCAATACAGAAACAGGGCGGCTTCGATTTCTCGACCGCTTCTTTGATCGGTCGATGCCTTGCGATCCTGCGCTGAGAGCGCCAACAGCTGCCAGTCAACCATGCGGCCTTTCCCAGGCCCTCTTTCAAGTTCTCCTTCGACAACATCCACTCCGACCTGATCGTCCCCATCGATGTGGGAATCGCAGGGAACATGGTTTGGTCTAGACTAGGCAACACGGTCCAACACTAGCCGCCAACTTCCCTTGCCACCATCCGTGCCTTCGCTCGTTTCTGTCTGTGTTTGGGGGTGAATACCAACACCGGGTCATGGATACTAACGTGGTTTCGACCCCCAAAGAGGGGGGTGGATACTAATAGGGGGTGCCTACTAATACCGGGTAAATACGGTATTCTGCATGCATGTGTGCACATCCATCATGTGCTGCATTCACTGTCTGTGCTCAGTGCATCATGGCTGTTGAATGAACTCTTGTTGCCATAATAGGACACCATCAGCACCTAAAGCCAATGACTGCGAGGCCAATTCACCTTCAAAACACTACAGCAGAGCTCCCAGGCTGTTGGCTATGATATGAGGGGATGGGCCCCCATGCCCAGAAAGATGTGGACTATCAGATGATGCCTTTCAACCCATGGCAGAGGATCACCAGAAAGCCAGTGCGACAAGCCTGCTGAGTTGCCGCACAACATTGGCTGTGTACTTGCATTGATATGCACAATGGCAAGATATGACTTCTGAAGAACAACTTGATGACCATCAAACATGGGGCTGTGGATGGGCTACTTTAGAGGCAAGCCATGAGCCACCGTGCAAGCTGGCACTGGCCATACAAACACCACCACGTATGTCCAGGATAAGTGCACAAGGCCCACCAAACATGGCTGCAACAATGACTGCTGCTGCAGGTAAAACATGTGAAATTTCTCTCACTCAGACTTTCGATGCTGCTGGTGGATATACTGCTCTTCCACGTACATCTCTGCATTTGGTCGCTCCCATCCACCTTGTGCAGCACCTGCTGTCAGTGCTCAGCGGATCCGTATTGACTGGTCTCCTGCTGCCATGCTAGGATACCATCAGACCCTCGCGATCAATCTGGACAAGGCCAGCCTCTGCATACTCCAGCAAAGCTTCCTCGCTGTTGGCTTTGCTATGAAGGGGTGTGGCCCATCCCAGTTTAAAGGGAGAGTCACACAGTCATGACCTTTATGGAACTGTCGCCAATGGACGTTGTGGGGATCATCATACTCTGGGTATTTTGACACGATAAGAGTGGAACAACCAGGTGTCTGGCATCTACACGCACTAGCGTGGGTGCCACACCTCAGACACCCGATGTGTGGGGGGCAGCCTGATGCATGGCATCTACACGCACTAGCGTGGGTGCCGGTGCCCCTGGGACCTGCAATGCTTTGGAGGACTGCTGTGGAGAAGAGGAGCTGCAGCTTCTTTCACAGGGGACCATGGCTACGGAATGGGAAATGAAAACACGTGGTGCACGCCTCTTTCCCGCCGCATGAGCTTTGGCACCACAGGGGCCGGCCCTGCTTCGAAGGGAAAGCCCAAGTGCATAAGAACGACCGGAGGATAGCTGAGCACAAACATCGCCGTTCAATGCAGGGCCGATCGCTGCAGGCCGTCAGTGAACAATAAAGTAGCCACAGCGGAATGTTGGGGATTTTGACTGTGCATAGCTGTCACGAACTGGGGAAGGGTGATTGCATTCCACAGCTTGTTGGTCTGTACGTGCTGTGGCGTGGGCTGGGATAAAAGAATTACGCACCTTGTCAAACAGCGATGACCCGAATATGCGTAACCGTGGTGTATTACCACAACGCGCAATCACCTGGGGCACTGGCGCTCAAACATGCCTTTGGATACTAATCTTCAGCCATTGGTAGCAGGCACTGTGGGCTACAAGCCCCTGTCAGTACTACAATGAACCCCTCGCGCAACTGCTCCACTGATGTCTAGCCCCCTGTGGGCCATTAACCCTCACGATACTCACCGAAACGACTCCATCCGATTCATGGCAGACCAGCGGCCACCTGGCCATCCCTCCGCCTCCACAATTTTTCGAGGGGCCGCCGCTGACGTCGCAGCCAGCTCTCCGTCTCGGGCCTCCTGGAGTCCAGAGGGTCCATCGCTGTCTGCCAAACGCCAGCTTCTTCGACAACACACCGCCCGAACCCAACCAGGACCTGCGCACCTTGGCGGATTCACTCGGCCACCACAACACCACAAAATCGATACTGATCATGGATCGCATCATCAACCCACACTGCTGACCGGTCCCGGGAAGTCACAGGGAACCCGGCGTTCAGTCACACGCGCACACCGCACACACCCACACTCGGTGACCGTTTCTCCCCGAGGCGGGAATGTGCAAACCAAAACCAACTCAACTCGGCGGCAACCCGCTCCGGCCTGGCAGGCAACGGACCAGCCCACCCCGGGCGCTGTCCGCCCTGGTCCGGGCGGCCACCGGCGCTGCGACCGAGCCGCACGAAGGGCGCGCCCCCATGTTGCGCCTCCCTCTGCCGGCGTGCCCCCCCACTCGATGCGAAGATGGATACCCGAAAGAGGAAGGCCGAGGGGGCAGCGGAGGAGTCGACGGCCAAGCGCGGCCGCATCGACGCGGCCAAGGGCACCGTGATCCTGAGCGAGGGGCCCCCCCGCCCGTCGTACAAGCGGCCGCGCGCCAGGGGGGGATCGAACCGCAGGCCGCCCAGCAGGGACAGCGCGCTGGAGCGGCTGAATGCCGCGGTGGTCGACGGCGCGCTGTGGCACGCGGGATGCGGGGAGCCGCTGGGCGGGAGCGGGGAGTCGATCGGTGTGTCGTTCAGTTCCGCGGAGGAGTACGTGGCGGCCTTCGAGCCCCTGCTGCACGAGGAGGCGCGGGAGTCGCTCCGGGCGGCCTGGGCGGACAACTGCGACCGCGGGCACCACTGGGAGGTGGCGCTGGGCGGCGTGGGGCAGGCGGAGGGGGGGTGGATCGGGCTGGAGGTGCGGATTCGGCGGAAGCTGTTCGGCAAGGGGCCGCCGCGGCCGGCGCCCGGCTCGGCGGTGGTGCTGTCAACGTTCACCCCGCCGAAGCGCGGCCCGATGGACGCGGTGCACAGGCTGGTGGGCGCCGGGGGGCCGGCTGATGCCGATCGGTGGGGGGGGCCGGCGGGCAGGCGAGGCGGGCGCAGGGGAAGGGGCAGGGGGCAGGCGCCGGCCGGCGAGCCACAGGGAGTGGTGGCGGGCATCGTGGGCCCGCCGACGCGCGACGAGGCCGACAGGGTGCTTGTGCAGCTGCACCCCGCGTGCGCCAGCCACGGCGGCGAAGAGGGGGCGGCGTGCAGGGCGGTGGTGGGGATGCTGAGGGCGCCGCGGGGGCCGTGGTGCATGACGTCCGGCGGGTCGCTGATAACGGAGCAGCGCGAGTGCGAGGCGCTGCACTCGCTGAACAAGATCCGGTTCCTGGGGGCGATCCTGCGGCCGGAGGCGGAGCTGGTGGCGCGGCTGGACGACCTGCCCAGAAAGTGGCCGGACGAGATGGGCCAGGGGCTGCACGAGTTCATCACGAGCAACTACGACCGGGCGCAGGCGGACGCCATCGCGATGTGCACCGCGCACTTCGCCACGCCGCCTGAGGGGCCTCCGGAGGGAGAGGGTGGCAGGCACGGGCGGCCGCTGCCGATCGCCCTGATTCAGGGCCCACCGGGCACGGGAAAGACGCACACGGTGATCGGCATCCTGAACATGTGGCACCTGGTGCAGTTCCAGAGGTTCTACGAGCGCGTGGTGGAGCAGTACAAGCGGGACGCGGGGGATGCGGCGACGGCGGGTGGGGACTGGGACAATCTGATGGGGTTGATGAAGACCGGGGAGGTGCGGCGGTCGATGAGGCCCAGGATCCTGGTGTGCGCCCCGTCCAACGCGGCCATCGACGAGCTGCTGGAGAGGATCCTGAAGGCCGGGTTCTCGGACTCCGAGGGCGGGAGGTACTGCCCCAATGCGGTGCGCGTGGGCTCGGAGGACGCTCCCATCTCGGAGGCCGTCAAGGCGGTGTGGTCCGAGACCCTGGTGTCCGGGTACCTCAAGATGGAGGAGGCGGAGTGGGATCGAAGATACAGGAGCTTCTCAGTGAGGAGGAAGTCGCTCAGGGACGACATCGCGGGGATGGAGATGAGGCTGCAGCAGAGCCCGGGGCAGCTGTTTGCCCAGGCGTCTGGGCTGATATCTGCCTTGGAGAAGAAGGAGAAGTTGGACCTGGAGTTGGAACGCCTGGAGGCGGTGCAGTCGATCGTCCGGGGCATGCAGAGGCCCAACAAGGAGGTCAGGGAGGAGCTGGAGCTGTCCTACCTTAACAGCGCGGAGATGGTGTTCACCACACTGTCCAGCACCAGCAAGAAGATCTTTAGCAAGGCCAAGAGGGGGTTTGAGACTGTGCTGATTGATGAGGCTGCACAGGCAAACGAGGTGGCAGCACTGCAGCCTCTCATCCATGGCTGCTCGCAGTGTGTCCTCGTTGGCGACCCACAGCAGCTGCCAGCCACTGTGCTGTCACAGCGGGCAAGGGAGAGGCAGCTTGAGAGGAGTCTGTTTGAGAGGCTTCAACTTGCTGGTGCACCAGTCAAGGTCCTCACCATGCAGTATCGCATGCACCCACAAATCAGGCAGTTCCCATCGGCCTATTTCTATAACAACCGTCTTGAGGATGGCCCTGACGTCAAGAACGACAGGTTTGCAGAGTTTTACGCTCATGGCCTGCTGAAGCCGTATGTGTTGTTTGATGTCGAGACTGGGCAGCATGAGCGGCAGACCACGGGGTCCCTGCACAATCGTGTGGAAGCAGAGTTGGCTGCTTCGCTCTTCCAAGAGCTGCGCAGCTGGCTGATCAAGAGGTGTGAGGAGCTCATCAGGCAGGGCAGGCCGCCTCCCCCAGGCGTCACGGTTGCTGTGATCACTCCCTATCGCAGCCAGCGCAAATGTCTAAGAGACGTGTTCATCGAGATACTGGGAGTGGAGGTGGCCAGCGAGGTTAAGACTATGACCATAGACTCTTGCCAAGGCAAGCAGGTGGATGTTGTGATCCTTTCTTGTGTGCGGGCATCCACCAGGTCGTCCGGTGTGGGTTTTGTGTCCGACATCAGACGGATGAACGTTGCAATAACTCGCGCTAAGCGGGCCCTCTGGATCCTTGGCAACTGCAAGACCCTGCGAGGCAGCTCCACGTGGGGCGCCCTGATCCAAGATGCTGAGAGCCGTGGTTGCCTGATCAAGAGTGCGAGTGCCAAGGAGCTCTTCCCACACCAGCCACAGTTCCAGCCTGGTTTTGTTCGACACACTGTTCCCCAGCCCAACCAAGAAGCAGATGAGGTGGGCTCTGAACCTGGCAAGGACAACGGGAACGGGCGGCAGCGCACTCCAAGCCCAATGAAGAATCGCCTGCAGCAGGGAAATGCCGTTATGGAAGCTGGCTGCAAGGAGGGAGCCAGCGTGCAACAAAGCCAGCATGACAATGGCAATGCTAGGCCCCAGGCCCAGTTGGCAGTCCCTGGTGATCAGAAAGGGCGGAGGACTGCAGCGGAGCAATGCTGCGTGGGCGCAGGTGCGAGTGGATGTTGCTGTTGTTGACATTTCCCCAACGGCCTGAACGCGCTTCATGCCCTCTGTGCTCCCTGGTAGCAGAGCTGTCGATCCAAGGGTCAGGCATGCAGGTGAACAGCATCATGCGCTCAATCAGCCCAGGACCAAACCTGCAGGACCATTGGCTGCACAAGATGTGGTCAGTGCACAAATAGAAGGCCCACCAGCAGTACCAGGTCTTCAGCAAAACCCTGATGACATACCTCAAAAGCGGGGCAGTTCACCCAGTTGCCCTCCAAAGACACCTGTAGGGGTGTCAGTTTCTGCAGCTGTTCCAATACAGGCATCTACAGCTATGCAAATGGAGGCGGTGCAGACCACAAACGCACCCCAGTCGCTTCCAGAATCTCAGTTTTTCCCCGCAGTTGCACATGAGGATGGGGGAATCGTGAACCAATTTTACGAGGTAGCGGTGCCAGCCAATGTTCTTGACAGTGTTGCGAATCTGGCAGAAGCAGCAACCCTCCCGCAGGGTTTTGCTGGCAGCAGTGACGCACAGGAACCAGCAGTGCCCCGTTTGGGACTGACAGAGGTTGTGCAGCCGTTCTTTGCACAGGCCATGACCACAGGTGGCGATCAGCACGTGCTGGAGCACAATCCAAACGTCCAGGCTGTGCAACAGGCGTGGGGTTTGCCAGAAAGCGGCAGACCTTCGGGTGCAGGATTGTTGCCCATCGGGCAAGAACCTGTGGCACATATGCCTCGGCCAATGATGAGCATTATGAACGGTCATCTTATGCATACGTTCTCTGTGGGAAGAGTAGGGCAAGATATGCAAGGCACAGTTCCACAGATGGTGCATGCAGATCAGCATTGGCCCCAAGCGTTCCAAGGCCAGGTAGCCACAGGTGGTGATGAGCAAGCAGTTGCCCTCATGCCAGGGCATCAGTTCAGCACCCCACCGCAAAGAGGCCAGATCAGCACCATTCCAAACCTCCCAAGCGCCACACTGCAGGAGCAGTCGCTGCAAAGTCAACAGCTGCAGCCACCAGGGATTTTTCAGGTCCGTCCTGCACAGCACGCAGGACTCGGGAATACTTTGCCGGCCCAATTGCCGGGAATTCAGGGGCGCACGGACATGCCCACTCTGGGTGCCCACGGCACGCCGTTTCAGCCTGGCACACGTGCACAACAGAATGTGATGTTGATGTGCCCCAACCAGGCTGGTGCGGCGCCAGTTCCGATGGGTGAATGTGGTGGCCCGCCAGGGGCACCTCGCCTGTATGAAAGGAAGGATTAAACACAACAGAGATGATGAGAGAGGGTTGGTAGAGTAGATTGTGATAGTAGCTTCCCCTGCGTCGCGAAGGGCTCGTTGGAGCCGTCACTGGTTGCATCAGGGACATAGGCCTCATTCTTTGGGGGAACCACTTGGATGCATTGAAATTGGTCAGAATTTTTTGCAAATGTACAACTTGCTTGCTGTGGCAGGGCTTCAATCAGAGGGGCTGCGGAGCACACGCATCCCACGGCCTGCCAAGTTCGTGTCAAGTGGTGTGATCAGCTCTGGGGCGCGTGTTCGGTGGAAGCCTCACTGTCCACAGTGTGGCGGCATCGTGTCACCGCACTGGGTGCCAAACAAGCCAGTGTGTGGCAGTGTGGCCATCGCCACGGTGGCAGAAAACGCTAGGCACACAGACTTTCCAACAGATCGACGGGGGTTGCGTAACTGCGCACATGGAGGCACAAACAGCAGCCGCCCGAGGAGAATGGCAGACGCAGCTGCAAACTCTGGCCACCTTGTGGAAGCCGTGTCACTGCATACAGGGGGCCCTGCGGCTGGTGATGGGATTTGCACTGTGGGATTCCGCATCCCATCTGCATGGCACGCCACGATGATGCCAATGGGGATGACAACTAAAGGACTTCACAGAAAATGACCGGAAGTGCTTTAAACTAATGTGTGCCAACTGGTCAATGGTACCAACAAACCAAGTTGCAGATCACCAACCGAAACTCGTCGAATCCAGGGAGACTTGTGACAAAGAACATAGAGAAACGCCATCCTGCGGAGAAAATCGACAGCAAATTGAGCGGGCAGCATGAACTCCCTATCTGCGGAAGCATGGAGCTGCTTGATGTGCACAAGTGTGGGTGCCCGGCCGTGCGCACCTGTCCCAGCGTTCGTGCGAATTCAGGCAGTATATTACCTTGCAATCAATCAGTCCGTCAACGAATCAACAGTACTTGTCCATGTGAAGAGGCAGCCTCCCATCTTCCTTGCTGCTGCCGTGTTGCGTGATGAGATGCTTTGCAGAAATCCATGTTAGTAGTGGGGGGAGCCGCGGCCCCGAGCCAGGCCGAACACAGCCTCGAACACTCCGCCACCCGCCGCACGGCGCCGCTGTTGCGCCGTTGGAGTGCCACGCAGGTCCAAAGGGAAGACGCAAGCGGCGTCGAGGCCCCTGCCGCCACGCGATCGAAATGTTCAAGTCGCGCTTCAACGCGAACAGGGCGTAAGCCATCCCTGCTTCCCAATGCATGCTTGTCGGTTGCCGCCTCGGGTCGCCACTTGCGCCGACGGCCGATCGGTCGTTGCCTTGCAGGAAGACGCAGTGCCGCCTGTGCGTCGGGCGCATCAAGCTGCTGAAGAACAAGCGAAACATACAGGTGCGCGCAGTCCCGCGAAAGGACCTGCGGAACTCCCGAGTACACAGTTCGCCCTCGCGCTGCGGTTTCGCACACCCAGGTTCGCCTCTCCACGGCACATCCAAATGCACGGCGCTATTTTGCGCGGCGGCACCTGCAAGCTTTGGGTATCTTTGGTCGCGCCTTTCTGGCAGTCGATCTCTGAACTTCCCGCTCTCGCGCGTCCTCCAGATGGCGCAGATGCGCAAGGAGGTCGCCGAGCTACTGCGCGCCGACCGCGGCGAGTACGCGTGGATCCGCGTGGAGGCCATACTCCGCGAGAAGAACCTGTCCGCGGCGTACGAGATCCTGGAGCTGTACCTGGAGCTGCTGGCCGTGCGGGCAGCCCTGGTCGAGAGGGCCAAGGAGGTGCCGCCTGACATGGTGGAGGCGATCACGAGCATGATGCACGCCGCGCCGCGCGTGGCGGACCTCCCCGAGCTGCAGCAGGTGCGCTCGCTTCTGATGCACAGGTTCGGCAAGGAGCTGGGCCCGGAGGAGCCCAAGGACGGCGAGGAGAGCAGGTGGCAGGTGGGGAAGGGCGTCGCCGGAAACCGACGGGTTTCTGGCTCTGCGTGCTGGGGCTTGCGTGACTGGCGGGGTCCAGATCGCCTCCGCCGGGGGGCTGTGATTTCGGCGCGTGCTCGCTGGGCGCGACCTTAGCGGAGTCCCGCTCCAGCTCGAATGACGATTCCTTTGGCAGACGGCCTGTCCCCGCGGATGGCTGTCGTTGGGTAAGGCTGCTCCGTGGCGTTGCTGCTTTCCACGGGCGTCCTTTCGCCAACCAGGCCGAAGGCCTGCCCTCCTTCCCAAGTTTCCTGGCCAGTTTCTTCCATCGACAGCCTAATAAATGAATCACTGCCGCAGGTTTACCTGTCGCAAATTTGGAACGCCCAACCACTGGTAACAAATGATGAACGTGTTGTTCGGTAAACTGTGCGCACTTAGCATTCGCATCGGCGGATAGTAACTGGTGCAGTGCACAGCGGTGAGGGGTCGCCAAATGCCACAAACTGTTTCAAGGACATCATTTCTGGAAGGCGTACCCGCCAGAATGGGGCTGCGAACAATTGAAACAGCGTTGGAATGGCAGCTGCACATCAGAAGGATGTTCAACCAGTGCATTTCAACAAATTTGTGAGCAAATGATTGCTTGAACACAGACCTGATGCATTTCAAGCGAGGTGTTTGGGAAAAACCAGCAACCAGGGGGTTTGCTCATTGTCTGCCCGCGCACTGGGTGTGGCCCTCACTCTCACTTGCTCCCTTCAGGTGAACTACAACCTCCGCCGCTTCTTGTCTGTTGCTGCGCCCCAGCCAGAAGAGAAGCTGTCCATGCTGTCAAAGATTGCCCAAGAACACGATGTTGACTTCGATGCAGAACAATTGTCAATAACAGTCATGTCCCACTCCGAGAGCCACAAAGAGGATCCTGCTTCCCAGAAGGAGAAAGAGTACCAAAAGCACATGGCGGCCAGCTTGGGTGAGTGTCTCCATTGAAGAGCCAGCTTTCCAGGCATACAGAGTGCCTGCAACGAGTCGATGGATTGTTTGTTGGGCTGTTGCCACCTGCAAACCTGATTGCTGCAACCTCATTGCGGCCGTCTATACCATTCAATAATCTGGCATTTTGGCCAGCAGTTGTTCAGCATGGCCTCGTACATGAACTGTTCTATCATGTTCCTGACAAATTCAGCTTGTAGGGAGTCGCTTGCAGGACAGTAATGCAGAAACCAGCTGCTCATTGTGGTAGGGCACACAAATGGTTGTCCAATGGCTGATTTGTGGTCAGTGTCGATGCTTTGGATGATGCAAAAGTTGGTGCATGGCCAGGGGGTGGAGCCACAGCTGCAGGCCCATTGGGTGCCACTCATTTCGGTCGTCAGAAAACGCATCCTGGCATTGAAGATCCAGTCGCACAGCCCCCACCACAGATGGCAACACCACATCCACTGCCCTCACAGCCCTCCCTGCCACCAGCTGTGCCCAGCTGCCCAGCTCCCTGTGCCAGTTCACCTGTGGTACGTTTGTAGATGCTGGCAACCCATGACTGCATCAAGGGCTGGGTCCCAAGCTTGTGACCTGAACACAATATGGTGTTGGAGGACACTTAAGCTGCTGCATGGATTGTCCCCAAGAGGGGTCCATATCAGAATGTGTGCTTGCAAATACCATGACAGTGGTCTGCAAACCTGTGGCACAGGCAGTCAGGCAGCAGACCCCACTTGCACAGCAAAGATAGGAATTGGATAGCCATGGTTTGAGGGGACACTGTACATGGCCCCCCTATAGCACTTTTGGGCGGCTGGAAGAGCACACAGGCCAGCAATCCCAGCTTGCACTTGTGGAGTTTATCCAGGAGCAATGCATATCCAACCTAGACCTAGCCTGGTGCCTGTCAATAGCGCCCAAGTCGCACTTGCGTATTGTGCAGAGCTCTGATTCGCTTGTTTTCTATGCTATCCCAGGGCGCATACACAAATGCCCAGACTGCTGCAACGGCTGCTTGGAATGCGGCTGAAGAGGCAAAGCGAGCTGCTGCTGCGGCTGCAGGGTATGCGGCACAGGCCCCAGTCTCTGCAAACCCACCCAACCCTGCCACTGTGCCAATGATCTTTGGAACGCCACCGGCCGCCATGCCAGCTGCGCCGGGGTACGCAGTGCACACTGAGACGTCTCCCCCCCAGGCATGGGCTCCGCCGTCGCCAGGCCCCAAGCCAGTAACGCCCACCTCCCCAGAAGACCATGCACCACTTGCGAATTCCGAGCCCCATGCAGGGTCGTTCAAGGTCAAATCGCAGGACGAGCTGCAGCGGCAATATGATGCAGCTCTGGGAGCGCCACCAAAGAAGGACGCAACATCCGGACCGCCCTCGGCACCACCAATGGGAGGCCTCCCTGGTGCCATGCCGCAGGTGCAAGCGGGCAGTACAGCACCACCACTTTACTCAGAATCCAGCAGTTCCCCCCAGGTTCCACACGCCCCACGACCCCCGAATGGGGTTGACCCAGAGCTTCCCTGTGTTCCTCAGTACCCACCTCCAGGGGTAAATCTGCCCCACGTGCCTGGAGCCGGCGAGGACTTTCCGCCTGTGCCGCAAGGAGGCCCCGGCGTGGACGACCTTCCATCTGTGCCGATCGTCCCTGGGGGAGTTGCTGACCAACCGCATGACCATATGGATGAACTGACGAAGCGACTGGATGACCTGAAGAAGGATTAGAAAGCATGCAGTAATCTGCAGTGCAGTGGCATACAGCTCGGGAGAGCGCTGCTTGCCTGCGGCTTGCTAGGATCCCTGTGGGGTGGGTGGGTGGTGTATGGGGCCAGGTGTACTTGTGATGCGAACGGCAAGACTGTCTGGACGATGGCTAAGTGTCGCTAGGGACAGTACGCAATTCAAAATGGAAACCGAATTGAAAATGCAATGAAAATACAAATACAAGGAACTTAAGTAACTGACACATGTTTCATTGTCGATTCCCAGAGGTTTAAAGTGAATCGCATTGCTCGTACATTTTTCAGAATCTCAATAGAAGTGATCAGGGCTTGCAGCAGAGGCTGTCACGCTCGGTCCCAGTTGTGGCATCTGCTGTCTGGGGCTCCATTGTAGAGAAGGAGATGGACGCTTTGCAAAATCGGGCTGTGAGTGCGCTCAAAATATTGGGAACAGCAGAGCCTCTGATGACCTTGTAAGCAGAGACATCCTGCTGAACGAAACAGGGTCTGCAGCTTTTGATGGTCAACAACAGGAGTGCACAGTGGAGAAAAGCACACTGGTGCGAAATACAGAACTTTGTATCGTTTGAAACTACAGGATCACCACAACAGCCCCGTTCTGGAAATCCAGTTAATCCTACCTTGCCCAACAACCCTAGAATAGATGTCTTGAGCCCTAGAAAACCCTGAGATTCTTGGTTTCTGCTGATCTACATACCCCTCATCCACCGTTTCTTGTTACCCCATACCTCACCAACCCTGTTTTGCTCCCAAGCTGCATCGACCTTTTGCCCAATCAATCTCTCAGCCAGTCAGGCGGACCAACACCTGTTTGGCTTGTCATGTGTTGGCACAACAGAACGGGCGCCTCTGTTTCCGAGGACTGCACTTGCACCCATGGCTGGTAAACCCTCAGTATGGAGCCTGGCGAAAAGTCCACGGAGTGTGACTTGGATGGCACAACTGCCACCACCCTTGTCAGGGAGGCGTGTGAGGGGCCCACTACGTCACAGGCACACTTGGCCAAATGTGCCTCGTACTGTGTGGCATTGACCCTCAGATCGATATGGCCCACCCCTGCAGAGTTTGCATGACCTGTTAGGTCCAAATCTGCCATCATTAGGGAACATCTGCAAAACTTTGGGCCTTTCCCGAGGTCACAACTAAATGTGTCCCGCGGCAGTTTGCTGATGAGATTGTCATGCAGCAGTGTGTGCGGGAACGGGCTTGCTATGGTCAGGTTGAACAATGAAATTCAATCGTAGCAACAGTAAATTGGGATCGTGTCGTTAGGCTGAAAGCTGTCTTGATGGGAATCCCGTGCCTGCAGACAAGCCTTGAAACTTGTTGCCAATCGCAAGTTGCAAACAGCAAATCGGAAATCCAGAAGAAGGCCAGCAAGTTCGGCGTCTGGTACCGTCTGCCATACCGTGCATTCCCTGTGTCTCGGTCCTCTCCCATCTCTCTCTTTCCACCTGCACAATGCTCTGCAGTCGGCTTGCCAGGCCCTCCCCACCCTTGCTGCCCCCAGGCTTCATGCCAGCCTGGCGCAGGGCCAACCCCTTCCCCTGCCATCCCATGTTCATGCTGATGAAGTTCCTCTGCGCAGTTATGCCCCTGCCCTGCTGACAGGCAGTGAGACAACCTGCCTGGGGTCCTCCAATGCTGCACTGGGCAGAGACACCAGACGCCTGTGGCACAGCTGCCGCCACATGTAACCCGCCAGAGCTCAGCTTCGCAAGTGCTTTTTGTGAGTCAGCCCCGTTGCACCCCGCACAGTCACTTTTAACAGCAATTCCGTGCTCGAATCTCGGTTGTGCAGGTGGCCTATGCGTATCGTGCCTGCCTGGTGGAGGACAGCCATCCCTGGCTTTGCAGCCCCTGTCCATTCCTGTCCTCGATGCCAGCAGGCTGGGCAAATCCCGTCCCTGTTTTTGGTGCTGTGACTGCCTTTCCGCTTGGCTAACGAGGTTGAGGACAGGTTGGCTGCCGACCTTGCTGGGAGAGGTGATGCAGGCATATTTAGTTGGGAGCGAAGGGATGCCCCCAAAGTCACCTTCATCGCTGCTCTCGCTGATGATCACATCAGACGTCGGCTCATCCTGAAGCAGAAAAGAGCATGAGGTCATCAAATCATGTGTAAGTAATCCAAAAACTTTGGATTTTAAAATTTCAGCTACCTGGAAGTAAACTGGAAATCAGCTGTAGAATTGAAAGCACTTGAAAAGGCGATTGAGAAGGCATCTGAGGAAATGATCAACTGAAGTAGTGGAAGTGCATTGAGGGCCGCCCAAGGGCCCACAATGGAAGGAGAGGGCAAATGAGAAGGCAACCCTGATGCGTCGTTGGAGACCAACTGCAGCAGGCTTGTGCACGACTCCCATAACACCTGTTTTGGCATTCACCTCAGTTGCAAGTTTGGGAGGTCCAGAAGCAGATGTGGAGCTGCCCTTGGACATCTGGCCCAACTTTCTTAGCTCAGCCTCCGACAAAATGTTGGCCTTCATATGCTGTGAAGATGGGTCCTGTATTGAATATTTCATCCTCTCTGGGAGAAGGCACAAGACAAGAACTGAGGGGAACAAACTGTGAAACAAACAACAGCACTAATGGGCAACACAAGGACAACCATGAGAGGCAGACAGCCAGCCATCGTCAAACCCTGCGTCGGCAATGGGTGGGCAGACCCAAGATTGTCCATTCTTATAAGCATTGACCATGTCTTGTGAAGGCTTAGTGAACTTCGTAGTCATCTGACATACCACCAACAAATGCATAAATATTCAACTGGTGGGCAGAGGCGCCAAGGAAGGACATGCACTGTGTTGCAGGCGCTATCGTATGAGAAGGCTGGAACCATACTCAAAATTACACGTGATAACAGTTGCGAACTCAGATAATGCTGGAAATGACAAGCTGATGGGCCCACAGGCACTTTCCATGTGCTCTACATAGATTCCTTTAGCTTAAAAGAAAATGCAAAGGGCCTGAACAGCACGGTACCCATTTCTTACTTCTGTGAATAGGCGTCAACTCCTTCCTTGGCCGACGCTTCCCCTGGCTGCCACACTTTGGCACACACTGTGTGGCACCATTCTGCTGAAACACAACCCAATCAACAAAAGATTCCCAGGTTGAGGCTCAATGGCGGCCACAAACACTGCTTTTGTTTCGATCGGCATTTTGCCAGCAAGTTTTGACAGCCAAATGACTGAAACATGAAAGCTTACAGCCACTGTTGGATGGATCTCCTTCCGAGCAACAAGCATTTGGGAGCCCCAGTTGGATCTGCATGTGCACGAACACAGAAGGCTGTGCCAATTCAGTGATCCTGCATTGCCATCTTACAGCAAGCAAACAGCAAGAATGCCAAGGCTGGTGAAGTGCCATTCCAACAACCCTTGAGCTGCCAACAAAGGGTAACGCGCACCTGTGCTCTTGACCTTTGGCTGGGCTCCGTAGAGGTCCTTCCCACCACAGGAATGTTGTCTGGCTCCTCACTCTCACTGGTGAGCTGTGTGGATGTCCCAACAGCTGATGATAGCACGCTCTGAGATGTCCGCAAGCCCTCAGAGTCGTTGAGCACCCAATGCACCTTCTTGCTGGGTGGGGATTCTCCCTTATGCTGGGGGCTGGGGGAAATGTGGTCACGTTTTCGCTTGCAACTCAGGTCCCCTTCGCCATTAGTAAGGTTGCACTCACGGACTGCCAAGCACGTCATTTTCCTGGATTCCTTAATTGGAGCCACTGGACGATCATCCGATTGGCGTTGGTTGCTCTGCCATTGAGGATCTTTACCCTGCTCAGCATTGTATTGTGATCCACACACATTGGTCTCCACCGTGGGCCGTCGACGTTCCTTGGCGTCAGATTGTACATGATGATCGACTAAGGACTCTTGGGATGCCAATGAGCGGAGCTGGAACACAAAAATGCAAGTTGAAAGACCAGCAATGCCAGCAATGGATGTCGTTTGCCTAGGCTGCGAGCTGGCGCTATGGTGTGAGCTCGGGCCCGGCATAAGAAACTATCCATGGTTTACTGCACTGCAGGAACGTCAATAGCCTTTGACAAGAGGGCACCGACAGCAGCAGCTTTGGATTCCTACAATCATTTGGACCACCGTGGTCTGCCATCATTTTTGGCTACGCTGTGGCTGAGACGCTAGAGGGAAGGGTTTCTCATTGTCTCACTGAAAATGACTAGTGGGCTCCTGATCGAAGCCATTCACACCCCCTTGCACACAGCACAACGGCTCTGATGGCAAGAAGCGAAAGTGCCTGCGTGCTAGTGTTCAGCCTTAGTTCGGGAGTCTCTTGGTCAACCTTTGCGCACGTCAATTTGCAAGCAAGCCCCTTGGGGGCGCCTGTTGCCCGCGATGGCCATTGCAACCCTAGTTGTGGGGATGCCGTCATTGCTACCCACGAAAACAGCCAAGAACCGCCGGCAGTTTCGTCGGTCCCCACCTGATGGCCTCGCCTTCCCGGCTCGAGTACCTTGCCTCCGTCTTTTGTGGGCCCTTGCGGACCTGCAGTGCACCATCCCGACCTCATTCCCACACCCATCCACCCAACGACCCTCTCAGCGCCTCAGCGGCGCCATTTCCAAAGGGAGAAGCGCAAAAGCACACAGTACGCTCGCGGTTGTAGAGGAAGAAAATTGAAACAGCCATTCGCGGGCGGGGGCTCCGACCTCAGCGCCACGTGCCACCCACCCTTCGCAGGTCCGCCTTCGGCCTTCCTGTTGATCCACATGGCCGCGCGGGCCGACGGTCCGCGACGCCCGCATGATTGCGCGCCCTGCGCACAGCCAGCCCACCCGTCGGCAACCCTTGCAAGGCATCGGCCCTGATCCCATCCTCAAGGCTGGCAGTGAGATGCAATGGGCTGACTAAAGCGCCGGAGTTGCTGGCAGGCACCCGCCGCCGTAGGCTCCCTCGGGGCGCCCCCCTCCGCCTCCGACGGGCCAGAAATTGGCGCCCGCGCCCATCAGCGCGCGGACGGGGCGGGAGGGGAGGCCGAAGATCGCGCACAGCCCGCGGCTGCATCCCACCCCACGCAGGCCATGAATCCAGCAGGACGCTGGCCATGCAAGCTCCGTCAGCCGCGCGAACAGAGCGGAAACCCGGAGCAAAACTTGATGCCCCTCTGCCGGGGAGTTTTTAGATTTTTTTGGGGGGGGGGATTTCCCGCACCTTTGCCCTCCTGGCCTTGGCCCTGACCTTTCCGCCTGGGGCGCTCCCCTCTTCGTCGTCGGACCATTCCCAGCCGAAGCTGCCTCCGGCCGCCCCCCGCGCCTCCCGCGGCATCCGGAGAAGTCTCCGGGGCAGGCAGGCGGCGTTGGGCACCGGCGCCGCGGCCACCTGGTGGCCTTGAGCACACGGGGAGGCCCGCCTTTGGGCCAGCACGCGCTTTCTGGCCGGCGGTGACGTCACCCTGCCGACAGCCAGCCACAAGCTGTATCGCGTGGGGGGTAAATGCGCGAATCTTGTTCTCGCAGAAATTTGAGGCATCTGTGACGTCACGCCCTTGAGGAGATTCTGCTGGATTCGTTCTCGGAAACATGCGTCGGATCAGTTTAGTAATGGTTTCTTTGTGTTTAAAGACTCTAAATGGTCTCCTTGTGTTCAAATATTACTTATTTGAAGCATCCTTTAATTTTATAAGTTGAAAGGTGTTGAATTATGTTGAGAGAACACTTGAGGCGGGGATTCATGGTTGTCAGCCCCCCAACCACGATCCTGTCATCTACGCTTCCGCCTGGTTTTTCTGATGTACTGGATGGCCAAGGCGAATCAGGCATCGGGCCATTTGATAAACACGGTAAGTATTGAAATGTGATGTTGATACTGGTGCCTGGCCATTCTACATAATGGCCAGTGCAACCGGTAGGTTTAATGTAACTATTTCACAAGATCACAACTGATTAAGTTCTTCAGCTCCACTTTCACTTACTTTGCCAATCAGCAGTTTACAAAGTGCAGATTTCCACTCACAGCATACAAGAGGCCATGGATTCTAAAACAAATGGCTACCAGATGGCTACTCGATCAGTACAAATGTGCTAGGGGTTTGTTCACCCATTAGCCACAGGTAGCAAGGGAACCCAGTCAGGATAGGAGGCACAACTCCCTATCCCCTGACACACTCCACACTTGCACTCACACTCCCAAGTTCACCCCCACGAGCCCACACCCACACCGGCACTGTAGAAACAACAAGATATAACACAACACAACGCCCGCCGAACAGTGGTGGCCACACTCGGGTGCCGTCCGGTCCGTTAAGTCCGGTCCGTAAAACTGAGTGTGATATTCGTCCGGTAATATCCGGTGCGCTATTTGCCGTACTGCCGTCCGCAAAATCCGGCTCTCACTTTTTCTTCACCGTTATTTGCCGTTAAGTTAACGGATGACGTGTGCGGCGTCCGGTCCGCAACAAAATATCCGTTGATTAATAATTTTGGTCCGTTATGTGGGCGTCTTCCAGGTCATGTATTCTGTGGTTTGTAATACATGGAGTGATTTGGAGAACTGAACAACACACAAGCCGTGTGTAAAGTTCCAGTGTATGCATGCAATCCTACACCACTTGCTACGGCTGGTACTGCTGCGTAATACGCAGTGCATACCACACTCCCATTGCAAGTCTTCCCGGCCATTCCAGCAAGGGTTTGGCATAGTTGTAATACCAAACGCGGACAACACACACCCACATCACCTGAGGCAGGTGGCAAAGAGGGTTCACCTCTGAACACAGTTGAGCCACTCAATATACTTGGGAATGGGTGATACGTATCACATATAACGATGGGTTGCTGCGGCGGTACTCCACAGTTTCCACGCCAGGGCAGCGAGTGTAAAGCCCATCCACCAATTGCACCATTCGACTGGACACATTTCTCACAGAAAATCTCTTCTATCTATATGATACCCTAGGTTCATCCACCATTCCAATATAGTACGTCGAAGTTCAACAGTTCAACATACATGAAAACGGGCAACGAATAGTACGAGTCGTGATTTGTTATCTACCATCTCTGCCTATCGCACCCTCACTGCGGCGGTACTCCAGAAGTTTCCACGCCAGGGCAGCGACTGTAAAGTCTATCCACCAATCGCAGTACTTGTTGGGACGCATTTCTTGAATAAAATTTTCTTCTATCTATATGATACCCAAAGTTCATCCACCACTCCAATATAGTGTGTTCAATATGTGCACTTCAACACAGGACAACGGAATATTACAAGTCATGATATCTTATCTTCTATCTCCGTGGTACCGCACCCTCGCTGCGGCGGTACTCCACAATTTCCACTGGAGGTGGCCACCCGGATCCGTTAATAGCGAACAAAGGTTAATTTCCGTCAATTTTCCGTTAATTACTTCTCTAAAAATTTCTTAAGTACTTCTCAGCCTGTGAACTTCATAAGGGCATTGTGGCATATATGCATAGCTAGTTGGCATTACAATAAAACCAAACTTGGAAAATGAGCATTCACTGATGGCGTTGGAAACCTGCAACACAACCAAAGATATTCAGTACTTTCCTTTCTTTCAACTCCATATTTCACATAAGGGCACTTTGGTATATATGCACAGCCAGTTGTACTCACCCACTCACCTGTGTTGCTAATATTCGATGTGCAAGCCTGGCCACCAAGGGGAAGCTGGTGTGATACTCGCCCCACCAATCCCCAACACTCCATTTTTTTGATATTCACATGCTGGTGTCCATTTCAAATCAAACCACCTTTCGACTTCGGCCTCCACTGGGTCCATATGCAGTGGGGAGCATGGGGCCCGTCTTCTCCATCTTGATCGTCGGAAACGTAGTGGTCCCTTAGGTGGGGGTGATGCCGCATCTAGCCAACTCTGCTGCACAGCCTGTGCTGCATCCTCTTCGGATGATGAGCCCGAGGAATGGACTTCGGGCGCCTTCACCATGTGCCTCAACTGCAGAAGTCATATGCACGTTGTTAGTCACACAAGCAAGATACAAAAGTAGGCACCCCATGCAGCCAAGCGATCCCAGGAGACGGCCGTTTAAGGCGAAATACACAACAAGCACAGTCGTGCATGCAAAGGCATAAAGGACACTCGGTACGGGCCAAAACTATCCACAGTTGGATGCACACATTTACAAAGGCAAAGGCCACAAATCAGAACTGAACTCACCAATGCCGTCATCTCCGTCTTCAACATCACTTGGAACTTTGCCAGGGTGTCATATTCTTTCACCACATTTGGCCAATCGTCAGCGTTGTTCCATATCCTCCTCATCCAGTGCAATGTATTCCTCCTTCCGTCCACAGCTGCCGCTAATGCCCAGTTGTATATTAGATTGACATTATCACAATCCGCACACAATTTCTTTGTGAACTCAGAGGTGAAGTCAAGCAACACAGGTTTTGCATGTGCATCGGTGTCAGTGACATACAGCCGGTCGTGCAGCAACTTTAACACATTATAGAGGATATCCAATATGGTAATATACTCATCCCCCTCACATCGCTCAGACAACTCCCGTATGGACTCCAGGACTGGTAGCACTTGTTTGAAAATGCACCACCCAGCTGCTGGTATAATTATCCTAGGAATTCTCGCATCTGCTGTATACTCGCGGATGCTTCTTTCCAACAAAACCGCCCTCTTAATCAAAGAATACATGCTGTTCCACCTCGTCGGGCACCAAGTCCCCAGACGCAATATTCGCTTTGGACAAGCCTGCTCCATTTCATTGTCAGGAACCGTCAGATCTGCATCAGGATCATCGGGCAACTCAGCAACATCATCCTCTTCCCTTACACCTGAGTAATCCTCCTCATCATCATTTGATGATACATCACCGGCCACTTCCTCCTTTAGCATCTTCCTTTGCACGCGACGGAAAAGCTTCCAAGCAGTGGGCGATTTGTGAAAATGACTTGCCAATTCGCGAAGCGGCTGGACGAGCTGCTGAAACTCTTTCACATTTTGGAAACCGGCCTTGACTGCAGTATTTAACAAATGGCAAATGCAGGGGTGCCAATCAAAAATCTCCTTTTTTTTTGGCTGCTGAACTCATATTGGAGGCGCAGTCCCTGGTGAGAGCCACACGATCGCACGGCGACTCGTCCTGAAACGCACGCACAGGGTCCGCTTCCATCTCCGACTCCGTCATAACTTGGTCACGCGGAACTACAGGGTGCAGGCCATACTTCAATCGGATCTTGAGCAAGGCACGGCTTATCGCGTCTGCAGTGTGTGTCTCAGGGAAGCTGGCAGTCTCTGACACCACCAACGTGCTGTGCTTTAAAAGACGGGGGTTACCTTTTGCACATGATACATGTCGTACTATACTGGCCGATACAGGCCAGTTCTCATCGCTATCGTGCTATGGCAACATAGCACCCACGATTTATGTTCAATAAGGCGTGATTCCCGGCCAGTGAAGGCCGGTACTAGCGCAGCGAGTGCACATGACACGGTTGGCAAAGCACACAGAAGTGGTCACTAATCACGGCATGCATGCAAACAGTAAAGAATTGATATTCATGACATGTCACATAGCATTGGCCGATGCCAGACCAGTACTGATGGCTATCGTGCCATGGCAACACAGCATCTGCGATTCATGTTCAATAAGGCGTGATTCCCGGCCAGTGAAGGCCGGTACTAGTGCAGCGAGTGCACATGACACGGTTGGCAAAGCACACAAGAGTGGTAATTAATCACGGCATGCATGCAAACAGTAAAGAATTGATATCCATGATATGTCAGACAGTATTGGCTGATGGCAGGCCAGTACTGATGGCTATCGTGCCATGGCAACACAACATCCACGATTCATGTCTAGTGAGACGCGATTCCCGGCCAGTGAAGGCCGGTACTAGTGCAACGAGTGCACATGACACGGTTGGCAAAGCACACACGAGTGGCCATTAATCATGGCACGGATGCAAACAGTAAACAATTGACAACCACGAATATTGAAAATATCATAGGACACAGAATATGCCATCCAAACTCACCCAATATGCGTTTCTTCAGGCTCCAATCGGCGTCCACCCAATGCAATATCACTGTTATATACGGGTCCGTGCTCCTGCTTGTCCAAATGTCCGCTGTCATGGCAACTCTCGACTCGTCTCGGATTTGGGACACCTCTTTCCTTATTTCCCTCTTGATGTTATTGGCCTGTCTCGCCACCGACCTCACAATTGTTTGCTTACTAATAGATGGCCAACGGGGAATAAAGGCTCGCATGAAACAAACGAAGGGTGCCATCTCAGCCAGGTGGTATGGTGCATTAGCGAAACTGACGTACCTGGCCATGTGGGTCATTGCCCTGTTCCATTCTGAGGTCCTAGGGTGCCATGTCTCCAGGTAGGTTTCCAACGATGTACCCAATTTCATCTGCCGGTTGCCCGGAGGTTTACTGAGTTCGTCTCAAA